ATTCCTGTGACTCATTCCACCCCAGAGCCACCCTTTGCAAGAAAACTAGTGGGAATAACCCATTCCATTCCCTGGAAACCCGCTCCCCCCTTTTTAACCCATTGGTCTGCCAAAGAGCCTGTAAGGAGATAAGAATAAATTACAAACACTCGGAAGCACGGAGGGATTTAGCACCCCGGCTGGGTTATCAGAAGGACGAGCAGCGCTGCTGGTAGCATTGCCTCATCAGGGAACTCATTCAAAAACTTCACCTGCTGCCCGTAGCCTAATTAGCGCAGGCGGTGCAGCGTGAGGACGGGTTTAAGCTGACGGGTTTGTCAGCAATTTTCTTCAGGCGACAGCACTGATGCAAGCCACCCTTCCAGCCTCAGCACCCCCGCAGAAACACCGCTGAGCACCATGGGCACGCTTCCACCCAGCCACCAGGTCATTTCTCCAGGTTGCTATTATTATTATTATTATTTACCCCAAAGGAAACATATAGCATAAAGGAAAAGGAAATAAGATTATTTTTTAGCGACTTACTCTCTGCCAATTTCAGTATAAATATTTAGAAACATTCCTCCTACCAGATAACCCGCTGCAGGCCCAAGGATTGCAGCAGTGTAGAAGACAGCTGAAAGGGAAAACAAGCCCTGTTAGACAAGCAGCAGCATTTCAGCCAGGGCTGCTGCGGAGCACGGCTGGTCCCCAGCATCCCCACCGCAGCCTGATTCCCTCCTGGATCCGGGATGCTCAGCCTCCCACCGCCTCGCAACCCGCTCCCCAAGCCAGACAGTTCTGACAAGTTATCATCTCACATTTAAGGCCCAGGGCAACTTCTGCATCCAACCTGGGAATTTTTATAGCATGGGGGCAGGAAAAATGGGTTCAGTGGTGTCCTGGTTTTGGCTGGGATAGAGTTAATTTTCTCCCTAGCAGCTGGCACAGTGCTGTGGTTTGGATTTAGTACGAGAAGAATGTTGATAACACACTGATGTTTTAGTTGTTGCTAAGTGCTTGGACTACCCAAGGACTTTTTGAGCTTCTCCTGCTCGGCCAGGGGCATAACAAGCTGGGAGGGAGCACAGCCAGGACAGCTAACCCAAACTGACCACAGAGCTATTCCAGACCATAGTATGGGGGTAGTTGGTCGGTTGGCTGGGGGGAGAGGGATCACAGCTGGGAGGGTGATCCCTGCTCGGGACAGGCTGGGCACCGGTCGGTGCGTGGTGAGCAGTTGCATTGAGCATCACTTGTTTTGTATATTCTGTATATTCTCTTACCATGATTATTATTACTATTGTTATTCTTTTCTCTTATTAAACTGTCTCTATCTCAACCCACAGGTCTTACTTTTTTTTTTCCGATTCTCTCCCCCATCCCACTGAGGGAGGGGGGGAGTGAGCGAGCAGCTGCGTGGTGCTGAGTTGCCAGCCGGGTTAAACCACGACAAGTGGAAAACCATATTTATGTAGTTACTGGTTTATTATTTAGCAGGGCTGTAGCTGACCCTGCTGCCACATCCCCACTGCCGGCACGACGAGCGGCAGCGTGGTCTCCCCACTCACAATATGCAGTATCTACGCTAAACGTGGCACCGCTGGCACTTCTCTTGGTTTGCTGCCATGGGAAGATCATCAACTTAACTGGTGATCTCCTTGTGCCCTCCTTCCCTCCCTGCACAGCCTTCTGATACAACAGCGTGGGCAGGCAGCTACATTTTGAAATTGCTAAAAGCACTTCACCCAGCAGGACGGCAAGTATTGGCAATGGCTAAGTGACCAGCGATACAGAGCAGAGGAGCGAGCCCAGCCTCTTCCCTCGGTGAAGCTTGGCTGTGCTTTGCACCAGATTATCTGAGCAGCCCAGCGACCGTCCCTGCTGTGCTATGGCACTAAAGGGGTGACGTCCCCTTGCACGGATGGGGTATGGCCTCATAGAATCATAGAATCGCTTTGGTTGGAAAAGACCTTTAAGATCATAGAGTCCAACTGTCCCCCTAACCGTGCCATCCCACCACTAAACCATGTCCCTAAGCACCCTTCCTTTAAATCCTCCCAGGGATGGGGACCCAACCACCTCCCTGGGCAGCCCATTCCAGAGTCTGACCACCCTTTCTGTGAAGAAGTTTTTCCTAATGTCTAGCCTAAACCTGCCCTGGCGCAACTTCAAACCATTCCCCCTCGTCCTAAGCCTAACCTAAGCCTCATCGTTGTTTGCCAGGGATGCTGATGCCATGCATGCGCTGGGGCATGCTGGAGGGCTCTCCCCAGCTGGCTCCATGCCGGGAGCAGGAGGCACCTCCGGATCTGCAGGGCATGCATTGCAGGAGTGAAAATACCCAGCTGCACTTAGAGTTCCTGCCTGTAAATAACCAAGACCTCCCCCAACCGCTGCCACTTCCCTCTGATTACCACCTCGCCCCTTAGCAGGAACAAAAGGGTGGGAGCACCTCTCCCAAAACTGCTCCGTGTGGGCAGTTTGGGGCCAAGGCAGATGGACCGGCTCTCTCTCCCATCCCCACCTCATGGGTTTGAGCTGCTCCTCTGGCTTGACTCACCAATGTACACAGGGGAGTAGTTAGTCTTGACGTTTTCATCTAAATAGGTGACGCCGAGCGTGTAGAGCGGCGTGGCTCCCATCCCGTGCAGGAACTGCCCCAGCATGAAGATGAACCTGTAGCTGGAGAGGCTGGAGGCAGCCTGGGCGCAGGGCAGGCTCTGGTTCCCCCCACAGATGCCCACTTCTGCCGCTGAGCGCGCCTCGTACCGTCCCGTGGTGAAGTGGGGCAAGGCGAAGAGCAGGGAGCCCAAGCCCATGACCAGCACACCCCAACCCAGCCATCGCGGTTTGTGGCCGTTCCCCCCAAAGTAGCTGACAAAGGTCAAGCAGACACACGCTGCGATGTCATAGGAGCTGGCGATCAGCCCGCTCTGGTAGCTGTGGAGGTCAAAGCGCCGCTCAATGGAGGTGATGACCGTGTTGATGAAGCCATTCACCGTCATGCCTTGCAGGAAGGAGGCCACGCAGAGGAAGAACAAGACACCCTTAGACGTGTTAAAGAGTTGTAAGCACCCAGGGGTGAACGCCCCCCAGCCGCACGCCAGTTCCTCCCCTTCGGCCGACACGTATTTAATCCCTTCGTTGAATTGGGTCTCCTTGTCTCCCGGGGTGGTGGAGCAGAGGGGTTTGGCACACGAGTCGGAGGGGCTGGGTGCACTGGAAGATGCCGTGCCGTTGCTCAGCGGGGTGCCGCATGGCTCCCGTCCGCTCAGGGCATCAAAGGTCCGGCCGGCCTCGCCGGGAGGAGGAGATGGGTGGGAGAAGTCGAGCGTCTGAGCGAAACAAAAGCCATTTTCTCTGGTTGAGTTCTGGGGCATTGCCATGAATGGGACCACAGAGTCGAGCGGCAGGTTGAGGTGGGGCTGGTGGCTGGGGCGGCTTCGTGGGGCAGCGAGGACCTGCTGATCCAGGAGATGCAATTTTCGGCGCTTACATCAGTAGGGAGATGGTGAAGGTCTGAGCCAATACCATTCTGGCCTGTGAAGAGAGAATTTTTACACATGTGCCTTTATATAAAACCACGCTCAACCCCCTCAAATATTGTTGGGTTTGGTTTTTTTTTTTAATAATTATTAGCATTTCACTGTGCAATTCAGCTGGATGTGTGCCCTCCACCATGGGGGGTGTTGGTACCTCAGAAAAAGTCCAAAATACTCAAGAGCATTAAAAAAACCCCACCTCTGAGGGCAGTCTCCCTGCTGAAGCCCCTTACCCCTCCTCTCGCAGAGCCCCTGGTTTGACACCAGACCCTCGCTCCGCCGGCCACAGCCTCCGTCCCTCTCCTTCCCCCTGCAGAGAACGGCGTGCACAGCTACAAGTTTCCCACCGTTAAAAGTCCTTTGGTCTCCCTTTCACACTCTGTTATCAGTTTATAATTATCCTGAAAACTTTCCACAGTCAGATTGATTTTATTCCAAGCCCTCAGATCTGTTTACAACTATTCAGTAAAAGCCCTTCCATAACTAATTAGACTACATGCCATTTCGGAGCGAGCTGGAGGGCAGAGGCAGCTGACTCGAACCTGATTACCGATGCAGCCTGCCTTCTTTCGACCGGCTCCTGTGCATCGCAGCACCTGATCATGCTGGCGAGCAAGAGCATTTTTACTTAAATGCCTTGGCTGAACTACAAACATGAAACCAGCAAGGTTCTCCCTTGGATGCCGGTCTTAAATACGCAACAAATGCTAGGCAAGAAGTGTTTTATTAGAGAGCATCTTCAAAGCACCTTGTGTTTCCCAATATTTTTTGCCAGTATCCGTTGAGAAGGTTCCTACAGAAGTGTTCCTCTCGAGATGGCAATAAGCCTCATTGGCAGGGAACAGGAAAAATGGGCAATTTGTTTCCTTAATAAAATGAACCATGTTCAGATCGCCATAACCTGGGAATATTGCAGCCTTTGGTGGATAAATTAATACTCATCTGTGTGGTGCTGAAAAATCTTAATAACATTTGCTCGGTAGATGATAGCGTGCACAAGCACTGATGTGCTACCCCGTACCGGCAGCTCTTGCAGGCACTGGGGCAGGACCGGGCAGCACACGATGCTTGAAGCAGCATTGGGGTCCTGCTCCCACTGACAGCCCGCTCAGCTCAAGCAAACCTTCAACATCCAGGTCAGCAGTGCTTCAAGAGGTCTGGTCCTCAAGGTGAGTCAAACACATGAGACCCACCTTTCGTTTGCAGATAATTCTATCTTAATTACCCTGCCTGGGCAGCAGAGTGCGCAGAAGCTTTCAGGGTCCAGATTTTAGGAGGAATTTGATGGCAGTGCTGGGCAGGGTGAGCCTGGCAGCCAGGAGGGCACGGCTTTGCAGGTCCACGCTGGACTCCTCCAGGTAACTTCTACTTTAGCTGGCTGAGTGCAGTGCAGGGTAACTCTGATGTGCAACGTGTAAACGCAAAAACAAACTGCAAGCACTGAAATTCTGCTGCAGAGACAGGCTGTTGTAGCGTGCTGGCACAGAAGGAGAACGCCTTGGATGCAAGGCTATGCTTTTTCACTTTTTCATCCCTCCAACGTCCTTATGACTCTTACAGCTCTAGATGTATTTTCCCATCTTTGGATGCAATATTGGAAACAAGAAATAAGAGTGCTTTAGCACTCTAACTTTGTTAAAGTCGGACGTGATTATCAGGTGCTGGATCAGGCTCTAAGGGGCAGAACTGGCCGTGTTACCCCGGCATAAATCAAAAGTGCCTCCTGCACGGCCGCCGGCTGACTTCAGCTGCATGTTTCCCATATCAAACATCAATCTGACCTTACATTTGACTGCACTTGTGAAGAAGGTTGCTTGGCTGGGGATTGGTTTTGCTATCACTGATTTCAGTAGATACAAGAAGCCCATCTCTGTTAGCGGATGCGACCAGGAGCCAAGAGCTCCCCAGCTGGCACACCTTCACCCTGGAGGAAACGCTCCTCTTTATACCAGCACTGGGATAGCTCCTTTTGTACTTTATGAACATACATTGCTACTTCGATATTTCATGGGTCAGGAAAGAGATTACAGCTTTTCAGTCACGTTTTCCTTTTCCCTGAAGCAGCAGAACTCTGGGCCGCTGGACCCAGGCGACCACATCGTCCTCCCCTTCAACTTCAGTCACCCATAGTCCTACTGGGCAGTAAACACAGGGTGAAACATTTCCAAGAAAGCAACCAGCCTTTCCTCCAAACAGCAGATGTTCCCCCCGCCCCCCCAGAAGCCTTCTCTGCCTCCAAAGCCCACGTCCTGGCCATCTCCCGAGGGACCTGGACTAACAGCTTGTACCCAGGAGCTGTGAGCAGGACCCCCGTCCCTCCTCAGTGCTGTCTACCGAGCTGCTTTTCATCTCTCAGAGTATTTATAAACCGGCAGTGACACATTCACTGGGAATATTAGCTTGCATAGGAGCCATATGCCACTTTAGAGGACAAAATATAATCTTTAGGGAAAAAAACCCAACCAACTTCATGCACTTCCTAATCATTCTTATTCATCCAAGCCATCCATTTATTGCTTCCCATTCATCACTGGTTTTAATGACTCAGCTGATGATTTCTTGCTTACACTGAATCAGGCCCAATGCTATTATTTCCCTGCTATAGATTTACTCGTTTTGCTGCAAGATTTTAACTCTTCCTTTTTTTTTCCAGCTGTACAGCTGGTTCCAGGCCACCAGCATTCCCAAGTCAACACAATAAAAGTGGCAAAGCAATGAAAGTATATGATTCGTATTTCATGACGAAACTGGTCAACTCCCCCTGCCCCCCTCCCCCCCAATATTTAGCATTAAATCAATAGTAAAACTTACAAGCTTTTCATCAGATGACCATTTAAAAAGTCACAGGACCAATTAAAAACATTTTGTGTCTCTGATGAGGACTGCCATTAGATTAATGTTACAAATTAACTCATAAACGACGTGCAAAATAATCCCATTTGCTGAAGCACGCCCAGTAACAGATAATCTTCCCTTTCACTCCATGGTTTTTGACTTTTATAGGGTATAATTGTGGCAAGTAACACCTATTCGTAACTTCTACTTTCCACAGCTGAGCACAGTTTACGGGCAGACTTAATTTTTTTCACTTCCGTGGCATAGATGGAGATACTTGCTAAGGAATAGGAATGGGGGATTAAAAACGATCAGAAAATGCCCTGCAAACTAGGGAGGAGCAGCCCGGGGCGATGCTCAGCGGCCGCACTGGGCGGTCTCAGTTATCCTCCCCAACGTGTGAGTGAGCCTGGCCTTACTAAACAGATACGTGGACTTTGGGGAAGCCCACATTCAAAGTACCAAGCTCGTGTTACTTCAGAAAGGGACAAATCCGTCTGGGCTTGTACATTTAATTTCTCTTGGTAACACATACTGAATTTTTCTCGGCTAGTTCGGCTTCCGAGGATTATCGGTATTACTTCTGTTGTAGCCGATAAACACCATACGGATCAAGCGTAATCCACTCGCTGCCTTCCGAACGGGGAAGCCTTC